CTAGTTGCTGTATGTGGGACGCTGCCTCAGCATGGCTGGACAAGCGGTGTGTTGGTGCACGCTCGGGATCCGAACCTGGGCCGCCAGTAGCGGAGCGCGCACACTTAACCACTAAGCCGCGGGGCTGGCCCATCTATAACCTTGTTATTCTCTTTCATAGCACCCTGTGTAGCATTCCCTTTCTTGTACTGACATAGTCTGTAATTGTTTATATTTAGTCTCGCTCCGCCATTAGAGTAATCTCTTGGAGGACAAGGACCTCCTTCATCTTATTTGTGGTAGTTCTCTAGTCCTTAACATAGTGCCTGGCATAGAACGTACTTAGTAAATTTTGAAATGAATGAACCAAACGTCTGTTCTGAAGTCTGTCTAGTAGTGCAATTAGAGGTTGTTGGCATGGTGGTTTCCATTCCTTTCTTGTAAATAACTACATGCATTCATAGCTCTTGGAGAATGAGGAGGGGTTCAGAATATCTCCTGAATCTGGGGTGTGGGCTCCTGGGAGAGGACAAGTCGTAATAATAGATGAGGAGATTTATCCACAGAAGATGTGTAGTGCTCACTGGGAGAGATTACAGAACATGATTCTGGTCTTCAAGCATATTTATATGAAATTGGTGAGTTCTCTACAGTTCTGTAAAGGCCCTGTGGTTCTACTTATAGCCTCAGCCACATCACAAACAAATAGGGGATTCCACAGATTAAATTTCTTTACTACACTCTTAACCTTTAAATGACTTCAGAGGGCCGGCCCTGTGGCTTAGCGGTTAAGTGTGCACGCTCCGCTACTGGCGGCCTGGGTTCAGATCCCGGGCGCGCACCAACGCACTGCTTCTCCAGCCATACTGAGGCCATGTCCCACACACAGCAACTAGAAGGATGTGCAACTATGACATACAACTATCTACTGGGGTTTTGGGGGAAAAAAAGGAGGAGGATTGGCAATAGATGTTAGCTCATGGCCGGTCTTCCTCAGCAAAAAGAGGAGGATTAGCACGGATGTTAGCTCAGGGCTGATCTTCTCACACACACACACAAAAATCTGTAAAATAAATAAATAAATAAATGACTTCAGAATTGATTTCACATAGACCACAGGATGAAGGTTTCAGGACTCTCCACAATATGGACCCCACCAACATGTTTGCCTCCTTGTTCAGTTTCACTTCAACTAAAGTGATTTATTTTCTGTGCATGGCTGTTTAAGCCTTTCTAATCTGATGAAGTGCCCTCTTTCTCTGTATGCTCACCTAAATCCTACCCATCTTTTATACCTTTCCTGAACATTCAGGTAGATATGGTCATTTCTTTCTACCGCAGCATTTGTTGGACATGGTTTTCTAAAGCACATTGCCGATTCTGGTATTTCTAGATACTCTGTCTTTTTAAAAGAAATATTAGCGTATGAGATGTACAGAACTGATTCTAGCAATGCTTTTCAAACTAGGTTGCAAACCATTGGTGAGTTATGAAATCAATTTAGTGGATCATGATCAGCAATTAAAAAATAAAAATGAAATAGGATGGAATATATCAGAGGACCTGCCTACAGGAAGGCTGAATATTGTTTGTGAAACTTTAAGTTATGTGTTCATGTACCTGTGTGTGTATTGCATCTCAATGTAAAGTGTATTTCTTTTTTTTTTTTTTTTAAAGATTTT